CCCGGGAGCCCTCCCCCTGCAGCTCCCCCCACCTCTGCCCCCCAAACTCACTGCTTCAGACCCACGACACTCACTGCGATCGCTGGGCCGCCAGCCACTCGTTCTTGGCGAACTCAAAGTCCTTCGGGCCCTCGCTGGCCGGGGCGCCTCCCCCGGGCGGCCTCTTCCCGCTCCGGACCTCCGCCGGGTGGTTAAACCTGAAGTAATGGTCTCCCCCGAGCACCACGCGGTCGCCCTGCGGCACACACAGCGACCGCTGCAGGGGCGTCCGGACCGCACAGGCGCCCGGGACAGACCCCTGCTCAGCGGCTCAGGACGGTCAGTGTGATTCACGAGAAACACGGGTCAGAGCAACCGGCATCCATCCGGCACTTTCTACCCCGAGAACGGCATGGGACCTTCTGCACGTGTCACTTCCCGGATGTGTCACAACCACCCCGAGACACGTGGCTGCCGAGGTCAGGAATGAGGAGCCTGGACCACAGAGCAATGAGGGCGCTGGGGGAGCCTCTCCCCGCAGACACTGTGTTGAGAGCCGGACACACACACACACACACACACACACACACACACAGAAAAAGCCCGGCCGGCGTGGCTCAGTGGTGGAGCATCACCTATGACCCAGGGTTGGATTCCCGGTCAGGGCACATGCCCGGGTTGCGGGCTCCATCCCCAATAGGGTGCGTGCAGGAGGCAGCCAATCCATGATTCTCTCTCATCACTGATCTCTCTCTCTCCCTTCCTCTCTGAAGTCAATCAAAATATATTTAAAAAAAAAAAAACAAAAAGAACGACTTGCACATGAATCACTTCCCGACACTGAGGGACGTAGGAGGCGAGCCTGCGTCATGGGGCGCCCGCAGGCCTGCTCCCCGGATGATCGTCACGGTGATCTCTCAGGTGTCCGGGCCTGGCCAATGCACAGCCAGCCCATTCACCAGCTTTTCAACGTCACCAGGCAGAGGACAGAGGGCAAAGGGCAAAGGGCAGAGCCAGGGTGCCACCCGTCCGGCCTGGGGACACACGACGAGGACAGTGGGCAGCTCGCCCGGCCCCCCCACAGCCACACGGCTCTTGTCTTTGCACGAAGGAGGCGGTTCATGAACACACAGGAGAGGGCGTTCTCAGACTGAAACGCAGACACGTGAACGGCCCGCCCGGAGCCCCGCGCCTTCGCCCGCCTGACGGCGCCCCTTACGTGGTGCAACACCGTGGGCCCCAACACGTGCGTCCCGTTCACGTAGGTCCTGGCCTCCCCGACGGGGGCGATGCTCACGGTCCCGTCAACGTGGCTGATGGTGCTGTGGGGATGGAGACACAGTTACGCTCCGGGCAGAGGACGGCGTAGGAGGAGGGGACACGGGACAAGCCGTCGTGTCGGGGTCACTCCTTTGGGGTGAAGGTCCAGATCAATGCGTGACAATAACAATAACAAACTTGCCTCCAAGCGGACTTTGGGTTTCGGTGGGAAAGCCTGGCCCCCAGCAAGCGCACCCTCCGCAGGGAGGAAGATGTGCATTGTGGGTATTTTGATCACAACTGCTTTGGAAAAAGGGCCCCCTCCCCCCCCAAAGAAAACAGACAAAAATCCAGTGAAAAGCACAGTAAAATATTGATGGTGGTTTCCCTCTAAATGGAACAGATGGACAGTGTTCTTGTGTTCTGCTTTCCTAACGTTCCGGGTTTGTGAGGGAGTGTTAATAAGGGGACAGATAAGGAACGTTTTCCTGGCGTGAGAGTGGGGGGAGCGGGGAGATAAAAGCCCCTGGCTGGCCCGGCCGGTGTGGCTCCGTGGTTGAGCATCGACCTGTGAAACCAGGAGGTCAGGGTTCGATTCCCAGTCAGGGCACAGGCCTGGGTTGCAGGCTCGATTCCCAGTGTGGGGCATGCAGGAGGCAGCCGATCCATGATCCTCTCTCATCATGGATGTTTCTCTCTCTCTCTCCCTCTCCCTTCCTCTCTGAAATCAATACAAATATATATTTTTTAAAAGCACCTTTCATTCAGAGAACGGGAAAGAAACCCAGAGTGCAAGTCGTCTTTGGACTAACAGGATGGAAAAGGGGGGAGAGCCGCCCCCACAGTGGGGCCGAGTCTGTATGATCACAGAGCACTGGTGTCGCTCCTCCTGGTAAAAGACGCCCTGGGAGGATCACGCCAAGGGTTCAGGGCACACGTGTGCCTCCCGTGAGCGGATCGGTCACCCGCAGACCACGGCCAGGGGCCCTCGATTCGGAGAAGGCTGACCTACCAGTGCTCGTCGGCCACCAGCGCCCCGGACAGCTGGATGTCGGGGCGGGAGGTGGGGCCGCGCTTCCCGACCGCGGTGGTGCCCTCCCGGATCACGTACAGCAGCGTCTCCGACAGCTGCGGGTCCTCGCTCAGGTTGACCAGGTTCGGCAGGCGGTTGTCCACTTGGAAGGTGATGCCTGCTTTCTGAAGCCGGAGGGAGGAGAGACCGTGGTCACAGCGTGACCGTGAGATGGGCTTGAAATGAGCGGTCCAGGTGAAAGGCTCCTCTCCACCCAACGGCTCTCAGTTAAGGTCGTTAATTTCTCCGTGGGACGTCCCAGCGACGGCCCGATGCCCCTCACATTCCAAGCGCCACCCTGACCTCCACACGCCTTTACACTAACGCTCTCTGGGCCCTGCTTCCTACAGGGCCAGCTCGGACTCGACAAGCTTAATCTGCGTCTTACTGGTGCCCTTCTCTGACTCCTACCTGTAACTCCTTGATTTCGTGATGTTTTCTTTGTTCGGCCTGTTCAAATTTTTCTTTCCACGCTCTTTCCAAAAACAAACAGAATTCATAGTTAAAAATACATACACATATATATGATTACCAATCAACAGACAATCAATAAAGATTATGAAACCACTTGGGGTTAAATGAGATGGCCTGGGGGGTGGGCAGCTGCACACCTGGGAGGGAGGGGGGGACAGGAAAGGGTGAGGGCTGCACCGTTCCAGGCC